ATTTATACGAGACACGATAATCTTCATCAAACCACGTGTTAGTGATACGACAGTCGAATTCCGCTCGAGCCAGAAATTGAAACCGATAGAATTTCAACGATTTCAAAGTTCAACGCTACAGACGCGTGAAAACGATCTGCACGTTCATTCGAGTCGGACGGGAATGCGACACTCGGTACAAGATGCATATTACCATCAGTTATAACACATCAAAGCGGCAACACGCCGAGATGCGAAGTTGTTGTAGCAATTTTTTTCCTCCAGGCTTTTAAATTTACATATGCGCGAAATTAGGATAATCGAAAGGAGTCGAGAGCGTTCGCTGCGATGCGCACAGCCGCAACGATCGATTGATTTATGCAGGCTCCATCATTATTTGACAATGCACATATCGCACGGCTGTACTGTGCGATATGCTGCATAGGAAAGTAGAAACCGCTGCATTAGTTATGTCGGGCCGTAAAGTGTACATCAGCACAGCGATCGAACGTCGGATAATGTTTGGCTTCCGATATTGCTTATTAGAACGGACAAGCTGCAATAGGATAAATTTTACATTGGCAATGTCGCATTGTTTCGCACGAAGAAGTGGAATTACTCCGAAATCTTCGTCTCATAAAGTATTTCGGCATTTTTTTGAATTATCAACTTTATCGCATAAACAGTTTCAACGCAGCTTTTCGATTAGTTGCGACACGCAATTAAAATAAAACAAATATTTACATTATTATATTTATTACCTCATGTACATCATTTCTCATCTGCTATGATACGACGATATATACAATACGATATATACAAATTCGATAATATAATGTATAACGTCTCATTTATTATTTATCTATTTAATTCATTCGAAATTCCTTCATTTGTTTTCGTAAACAATTTACCCATTTACGCCATTTATTCGGAATCGTATTATTATACTTTAATCTGTACTTGTACGGTTTCTTGATATGTATATGTTTTTTTTTCAAATATCGCAAATTTTGCTTGTAAACAAAAGCATCAATTTGGAACGAAAAGATTTAACCCATTCATATTAATTGTGTGATCCGAATCTTGCTTTATAATTTCGAATGAAAAGTACGCACTGTAAATTTGCATTGGACGGTTATTATACAAATTTCGGATGCGATCGTCAATTTTATACGCATCAATATATTACGGGATAAAACGTTAGCAATTAAGTGAGTGCGATGATACGGCCGCAATAATTATGGATTGCAGTCACTTTATGCAGCTCGCTCGTGTGTAACATAATTAGAATTTAACGGCAAAAAGCGGGCAAAAATGACACATCATTGATTAATGATGGCTATTCGATCGCATTAATATTTTCAGATTGTTGAGAAGACAATACATCATCACGTTGTGATTTAATAGAACGTCTATATATAATGTACTGCTCTTCCCAGATACGTTATTTCATTCGATGATGTCACTCATCATTAATATTCACATAATCCTAAACAGTTTGACGGATAACAGCGTTATAATGTGATAAATATTAATACAATTTTACGATGCTAATTCAAGTGGCCTTAATTCGCCTGTCTATATTTCTCATCAAAATATAAGGTAGGACTCAACGTTAATTATCATCTTCTTAATATAAAGGATATAAAACAATAATATGTTCGATTAATTATTTCAATGTCTGATCTAGTTACGTACAAAGTTCAAACATAAGTGGTAATAATACTCACGGACGATTCGTTCTCGGGAGCGAAACTTTGTTTTCGACTTCTTATGAGGGAATTCCGTCGCGCAATCCCCGGCGCAAAGTGTTAGCGCCGTGAGCGATAAATACCAGGGTTGAAAGTGGAAACGGCTCGAATCGAGCCGGATGGATATAAAAAGAAATTACTAGCCTCTCAGACGCACTTGGACCTTCCAAACGGTACCGGCGCTCGCGCTCCCTCTCTCTTTCTCCTTTTCCCCCATTCGTAGTTTCCGTCTTGCTTCCTTTCTTACGCGATATCCTCTCGCCATTCCTCCGTATTCCCATTCTCTCTTTTATTCCGGGTTTATCTTCCACCTCTTCTTTCTTTTCCCCGAGACCGCTCCCCGGCTATTTCCCGATTCCGCTGCTCCATACTCGTAACCTGAATTATAGATGTCCTTCACAGTATGTCGCAACTCACAGTTTCCACCTCCGTTTCCGACTCAGAAAAGATAGCATGCTTGAGACATTATTTGCAT